AAGGACCTATAATATATTCACTTCACATTTTGCGTTCTACTGCACACTAGTCTCAACACAAAGAAAGAAATTTTTTTCATCCTTGCCTCCAAGGGCTAGCTGCTCACCATTAGCGGCCATACAGTAGATGTCATATGGTTCCAATTAACGTCCGATTGATGCCTTCCCGAATATGCATTGTCATAGTTGTGAGATGCGTCAGGTGACTACCGCTTCTGGCCCATGTCTAATCATTTTCGAGTTAGAGGCTAACCAAGCGTAGGTAATCAAGCAAGTTGTGCCCCAGCCTCGTGGACCATACTGTCAGTCGTCGGATCTATTGCAAGTGCTGCCAAATACAACGGACTTAGTTTGGTAACTCTGACATTGTACAATTGTCGACAACATAATAATCTCTACATCTAAAACTTGCACATAACTTTACGTGTATACTAGCACGTGCTCAGTTACACATTTTTCTTTGAACCTGGATGCATGGCGGTAAATGACTAGAATGAAATGCATTAGACAAAAGTGATATTTTAAACATAATCGATAAAAAGAGTTTTCTATCTCTCAGTGTGTTTTACATTATGTTAGAAATAGACCATTTTCATACAATAAATTGAAGAATCTCTAATATATAAAGGTTAAGAAGCAAGTATATAAATGTAACAATTTTATGAGGCCATTTTGTGTTGTTGCTGCATCATGCAGATACACATGCATTAATAAGATTAAGTTTGAGATTTTATGAGATTATACAGTGGTATCTGATTAAAGCACTAACAAAAGAAAAATACTTGTGTTATAAGGATACAGAAACAAAGAGCTAAAAAAAACAATATATTCAAGAAAATTACTGACATCCCAACTATAGGTTCAATACATCCGAAACAGGAAACTTCTCATCATAGAGACTCTTATATTTCAACCATTCAACGGCTTCTTCCGTAGTGAACCACGCATCATACAATTTTTGAGTGCGTGGTATATCGCCAGTTTTCTCCTCCACCCACCTCAAATATGTTCAGATCAAGCAGTTTTTCAGCGGGAAGACCTTTCTCGAGAATACGCCTTGTTTTATTCATTACACTTTGAAAGCGACGGCGATCGATCCATGACAATTCCATCTCCTTCGTTCTCAAGTTGTCGAGTCTTTCAATCGACTGCTCCATTCCACCTTCAAAATTAAGCAAGTCTTTATATTCTTTGTCGAAGCTGACAAAATTCTTATAAGCGATATGCTCTTTCACTTGACCTTTATCTGACAACACTTTCATTCCTGAAAGACCAGGATCAATCTTTCTAAGAAGAGACGCCATGTAGCCAGGTGTGTATCCCATCAAAAGTGGCTTCTTTGTATCGCGACGTATAAGGTAGCGCGTTTTCCAAAGAAATTTGATTTTCGCGATCCATCTTTGTAAACCAGCCTTCAGTCGAGCCCCGATGCTTGCTGGAACAACCTTCACTTCCGACATAGCCGCCTTGACTTCTGGCATAGCCACCATATCGCTTTTGATATTTAGCGCTAATTCTCGCTCTTCCTCTGGAACATGGACGTGGTCGCCTACTTGGAGCACACCATTAGTATTGCTGCTTCTCTGAGCAGAAATGCTCGACTTGGACTCCAATTCATCTATTGGGGAAGGTGCCGAGAGGACGCCGTTAACGATAACCACGAGGAGAAAGACAAAGCTGCGCATTGAAGACACTTGTTTCAGGAACTGACAACTGTGAGGTAATCGATGTTGTAAACGAGATATTGGATGCAAAATGCAAAGTGAGGTCGAATATAACAAACGACAGAGGCGTAAAAATCACGAGGTTCAAATCGGACATGCTATAGCTCAAATTTTTTCATAAGCTGAGATGTTAAAGTCTATATATGAGTATCGTTTATCATCTCAGATGATATGCTGGTAGCTTTTACATCGCCATAGACAGTGGCTAGAGATCTGACCGTGATAAGCTGAGCGTGAAATAGCCAGAGCATTTGATGTAGCTGGCAATTAACTCGAACAATAACAATGCTTTTTAGACTAATACTGCACATTATATAGCTCGAAAAGTACTGTGGCGTACATTATAATTTCTGACACATCTTCTCATATGAGGCATTTCTTTGTATCTCACGAGAGAGGAGCATCTGAAGGCACAACGTAATGATACAATGGATGAAGCCTAGCGGTACGAGAGATCCCACTCTGAGTTAATCCAATAGTCATAGCTTGAAAAAAGAATGAAACCCGTGCCTTATACACTTGAACCAATGTCCCTACTTTAGTGGATTTCATGACCAGATGATAAACACAATAGGAGAGTTGCCAGCATATCTTCTACTACTTATATGAGCTTCGAGATGATATTTGTAGGAAGTAAGTTCGATAACAAGGTATCAGGCCTTCGTTCTGACCACATAGGGATGGGATGAAAGGTGTCACCTTGTGAAGTTGTTCATAGGGTAGGTAGAGTATTAACTGTGATTTGCCATTCATTCTATCTATGATACTTTTTTACGTATATTGTACATCTGTTATTTTAACACCTGCCGCATGATTGCAAAATACAGAAGAGAAACGCCGTGATTGATTTGCTTCTGTAATTTTATCACACACAATTTGTCGTCAGAATTTTGACGAGCAAGAGCGTGCGTAGCGATCTGAAGTGCATCTCAATGCCATTTATTACCATAATTGGCTTCATCGCAAGGCTCAAATTTAGAATAGCACACGTACATAGTAAGCGCTTTAAGTAGAAAAATATTATTCTGGAAAATCTCGATCGCAAGGAGTAATAATATACTGTCAGTATCGAGATTTTGAATTACGGTTCTGTAAAATGCCGATGGCGAAAAAGGGCGCAGATGCGCGACACCACGCGATTGTGGAGCTGAAGGACGAGAACGTAAATAGACTTTCAAGTAGCATAAAGTGCGAGGCATCCGTTATGCATCTCCTGTCTCCTGCTACAATTGAATTGGCCAACTATGTCGTCAAATATCTGGATGAAGAAGATCCTGGTATTTTTGTGCAAATAATCGACCAAATTGCGTTACATGATGCATTAACTCTCCCGAATTCCCCTATATCACAAGGAATTGATGCTGATGAATCAACTAAAGCGTTTCGTGGATGGCTTATAAATGGAGCTTGGAATGTCCGTGCGAACAGTCAAGTTTGTCAAAATTCGACATTTTCGTTGGCATTCCATCAACTAACTCAAGGCGATGCCCTTAATATTGTATTGGGGCAGTGGCTACAACAACGTTGGAATACTCAGATGCAAGATCATCAGATAGAAACCTTCGCAATTGTGTTTTGGATGGCTGGAACAGGACCTCGCCGAGCCACATTTACTACCCACCAGAATATTTTCGGCTTGATATAAAGTCATACTTTAAGTACTCTGAAGAAAAAATGTGATAAGTAGTTTTATCATACAAATTGCAAAAACCGGTAGTAGAACCTTGAGAATACCTTTTTTTTTTGTTGAATGCTGTAGTAACCCCGAAATTTTATTAATTTGGAACTGAATTCTTATAGATACTAATGTGCATGTTTGAAGCGCCTCTGACATTTCTCATGTTATTGTTTGTAAGGGCATACCGTTTGAGATTACCATTTTTTTGCTTTCTAATATGAAGCATAGATGTACGACGGAGGAAGTTATCTCCGTAAGCACTTGAATAGTTGCCTGCTGCAGAAGGTAATCGCTAGTAACTTTAGCACACATCACCATTCTATTTCGACAAGAAGCAAGACATTATACTTAGCGTGGAGGAATGACGCGGGTTTAAAGGTCTATCGGGATGCAATTCTTATATTTTGGCGAAAGCGCTGAGTACAAGGATATGCGACCGTCGAGAATCAGCAAGGCTCAGTGGCTGATTTGTAGACTTTGCGTCATATGGAGAGAATCGGCTAGGACGATAGAGAATTTTTAAAAAGTTTTGCTGTTCGCTTGTGTGTGTGTGGGGAGGTCATTCTAATCTTTGTTTGCCGATTTAACCAAACAAAGTTTTATTAGTTATTCGAGATCACGAGTTACCCGGATATGAGTTATCCGAGGGACGACTTGTATTACGTATATCAAGTGATAATCGTAAATCAGACTTTCGATGTCCGCCTGATGATTTAGGCTTCGGGACTATCTAAACCACGAATGACCCGCGTACCTTAACAGGTTGAGAGAAAGAGTTACGCAATTGATGAAGATACAAGAGTTATGAATAAGACCCAACCTCAGCCAACACTTGAGGAGGTGACGTGGTTCAGTGGCTTGTTCAAATCATTACATTTCTTTCGTCAATGCATTTGGTTCTGGCCTTTTGTGTGCGTGTCGTTTAACAACCGCAGCTTTCAAACCGCGACAGAATTCTAAGCGCTCGCCTCAAATCTACAATTTACTTGAGACCAAGTATGCCGACGCGATATTCACAAGACTCGAGTCAGATGAAGTCCAGCACGATAATCGAACTTGTCAGCACATTAAAAAGTAACTCTCTGCTATTCTGACGGCAAAACTCGTCACCACGGCATCAGTGCGCAGTACGAAATAAAACTTCAAATACTAACAGAAAACTCATGACACGGAAATAGGCGGTGGAATGCTCCCAAACGATGGATGAAGGTATCTTCTAGTCATAATCGAACGTTATTGATCTGAGGGAAGTATTCTGAGCAAAATTTTGTTCGTGAAACGAGTTAAGTCTACAATTGTTATTGTATATATTAGGGGATGTTAGTTTAGCCAGGTACTGACTCAGAACGGGTCAATTAGTAGCCAATCCTAACTTGCTTCATTCGGGTCTTTCTATCACATGGACATACTGCGACTTTAAGTACTGCATTAATTTTCATTTTTTCCAAGCATGAATTTTGTTGATGTGGGAGACAATAAGCAGTCATGCTGGAGTAATTTAAAACCAGCCACAAACTGCAGTTTATGGATAATCTCCGCAGTCAAGCGACATTACATACGTTATCATCTTCAAAATGCTGTTGATCATGACGATCAAGGTGAAACTAACATCTATGAGATCGATCGGCTAACCGCAATGAAATGGTGCAAAGCAGCTTTGGAGGAGATGTCAGTTGCTACAGTGGCCAATTGTTTCGCCACACTGGTCTCTTTGCAGGGCATCCTCAGAATATCGGTTCTCAATATGGATGATCAATACATTGACATCGATCTGTGCGACGCTATCCAGAGGATTCCTCTTAAAATCTCATGGCTATTAAAGAGCTTTTGACTCCAGCGATGAAGGAAGACACAGCCAATCTGGAGTTGACTAGATGGACAGATTTACAAATGGGACATGCGTACACGGCGTTGTATTTTCGTTCATGACGTTGAAAGCACTCTTTGCAATCACGCCCTGGCCGCCAGCGGTTAATACTACGCCGCCGGATCAAAGAGCGGTGTGGTCAACATTGACGATAATGTTGGTCTAACAGCCAAGCCCAGGCCATGCAAAGCGTAAAAAATGCATCTCACAACTCAAGTTGGAGGCAAAGGAAGAGGAGAATGACGATCAAGTAAACAAAGATGTGGAAAAATAGATAGTCACGAATCTGGAAAAGCTAAAGAGCCTAGCAATTACTGCTTCAGCGCTGGATGTGACGTTTTCCACAGATAGAGTGACAGGTATCCGAGAACTGCAGAAATTTCTCGAAACAACGGCGACAGTACACTCTCTTGTAAAAACTGTACAAGCTCGAAAAAGTTCTGCTAGTACAAATGAGGAAGACGGATAACTCGAAAGATTACCTCAGTCAGTGGGGCTACCTGTGATTAGCTTTGTCGCCGATATTCCGGGAGTCTTTTCACGTCCGCATGGTGAGCACGTCACACGCAGTGATGGCTAGTAGCTCCGCTACATCGAGAGATGGTAAACTGTTTTTATTCACTACTAAACCTGGCCACTACCTGCTCCTGACAGTGTTCAATCTCCATCACACCTGGCACAGGATATCGTGATATAGTCGTCCAAAGTTGTCCTGACTGCCTTGACCACCAGATCAGCTTGCTGTGTAATAAAATGCCTCGTTTTGAAGACACTATGGGGACCATTATATATATGTGTATGGCTCGCTCCTTTCTCGGCAGCAATAAATCTGATTGTTATTGCCTGTTATATTTGAGACTGAGGATCACTGCTCCTACTTTCTTACGAGCTTTGATCACGCCACTCAGCAGAATCTTTCTTAAAAATTCAAATAATCCTACTTTTTTTAGCTAAACTAAATCTCAATGCCGAGACCATAACCAGTCTTACTTTCAAGTAGAGATAAATGTCTTGATGTAGCACGAGTGATGGGCGTAAATTATGTAAGTTTTGACTCTATGTCAACCCATGATGAGACCTACGTCACATATACACATTTCAAAAACAGTTCGGTACGAGACACTAATCAACGTTGTCATAGTCTAAGTTTTAGTCAGCTTACTAAATTGGTAACACGACCCCTCACCAGCCACGAAGATGCAGAGATTTCTGAGAAGACGTGCTACTATCTCAATCATATTCGGTAGATGTACAATATTCTGCTAATGAGAAGCAGTCTGTTTTTGAGCTGCTGGGCATATCTTAATCGTGGCAAACCGATTGTAAAGCTCATCGAGCGCATCTGGAAAACGACTTACGTCAGTACTAGCCGGACGCCAAAAACCTCGGGGAGAGTCGATGCGCCGCTATACAATCAAGCTCACAAGTTTCGTGCACTCAATTGTCAATGATCACCTGAGACTGTGGCGTCAAGTTGCAATCGAAATCATGGTGGTTGATGAACGATAAAAAAGTGCATTTACTTATTGCATCATATGAAGGACGCAAGTTTGTACCTGAGTTGAGTACTCACACACTTTTGATTAAGTCTCACTGTTGTGATATGTTCATCAAACGTGTTTAAAACTATATTTTCTTGCAGCCATCTAGTCACTCTGATACTGTGATTCTTAGGATGTTGGTCTTTCGGTGATTTTCGCTATCATCTCAAAAATATAGAGCACTTGCCTTGACAAGTAGCACATTCGCGATGATGGCGTTTGAAACTCACCCAGTCACCAATCCGGTTGCTTTGAATGTCCGGCTCCAGAAAGCTTATGAAATAGTTTCCCAAGAGTCATCGCTCCCAAGCCCCGCGTAGGTGTACCGCCATGCTTTCAGTTTCATTCACGGAAACCAGGTCTATTTCACTACGCCCTTCCAATTCGAATTTGACGAAATAAAAAGAGAGCGTCTTGTGATACCTTCAAATTGCTCTATACCGGTTGAACTCGTCAGGATACCGCGCATGACGATCGTACCAACGCTCCTTGATTTGCTGGAGCTCATGCTACAGACCACAGTGACACCGAAAGCTCCATGTACAAAGTCTATGACGAAGGCAGTGCTACCAACTGGACGTGACAAAGTTATTCAGACTCTTCGACCGAATGCAAAGCAATACCAGCTCGGCGAGCAGGTAGCTTAAAAGAGGAGAGAACTGTGGCCGCGATGCACTACTCTCAAGTGCCTTAAAATCTCTAGTGTCCAGGACCAAGTTCAAATTGACTCGAGATCGACAGCTACATGCATGTCACGCGCTGCTCGACTGGGTCCCGCAGTCCATCAGCATATCCAACGATCTAAACTCCGCCCTTAAATTTATTAAGTAGCTCAACTGGTGACCGCAAGGCAGGCGCAATAATTTCTCTCCACTAAGTAAACAAAGCGCTGGTGATACACCTCCAGGAGCCCTTCAGCCGGACACTTGTAAGAAATTAATGACACCTACCGCGAGGCAGCTGAAGTCGAGCATCAAGACCGTTGAGGCCGTGACGAGATCAATACTGACCACCGGATGAGGAAAGTTGAGATGACCATTGATCTCAATATGGCTCAAACGTGGTTATAGCACGTCGCTTGTAATATAAGACAAGGCGGCCGAGTGCGAGAATGGGCACTAATGCGCAATACCTCTGTAGAATGGCATTTCAACATGGGAAACATAAACGAAAGATGTCGCGGAAGCGACAACTAGCGGACTACGACCAGAAGCTTGAAACTCTGGTCGTTGCAATGACGTCAGACCCCTCGCGGAGGCGGTAGCAATTACCACGATAACGGAGGGTCTATAAACGTGACGGGCTCGCATCAAGCGTTCCGTGTGCATCTTTATAACTTTCGCAAAAAAGGTAAGTGTCGCATTGTATACAAAATGCAACTTTCGAGCCGCAAAGACCGAATAGGGTGCTGAAAATGAAAACTCTTTGAGCGCGTAAGGGGCAGATGACCCAGCCGTGCAGACGTAGAAGAGGGAGGTCTCAGGACTATCAAAAGCTCCTATGTACTCGCTGAAGTTTTCTCTGTGGTAGTAAAGCATCTGTGTCTTATGTGGTACTTTGATCGCGGCTGAGAGGAACAAGGATTTGGGCTTTCACACAGGCTCGTTTGACGAATTGGCCTCAAGAGAAATCGAGTCCTAGTCAACAGAACTGAGTTTAACTGCAGGTCAAAATTTTCAACTTGTGGTGCTTCGGAACCGGTAGTGTCTCATGACACACACGTAATTTAATACTGAGATACACAGCCATGGACCCTGACAATGTAATAGTGTGATATCATAGATCTATTTTCATGCAAAGCAAATATTGGGTATACTAAGAGAGAGTTAATCCTCTCCCAACATCGACTTCTTGGCTCAGAATGACCAGTGGCAAGTGGCAATTTAGGTAATCTTTGTTTTGAATGAATACACAACCACCATTTTGACTCAAAAATAGAACTTTGAAAGGTTATACTGCAATACAGCATGATCAGTCGCACCATAATCAGTCTCGATACTTACTTGATAGCTATTATCAGATGTTCAGGAAACACAGCATGATTATCAGATGTTAAGGAGACACAGCATGAACGATATGAACTTTGAGTAGGAACTAATGAGCGCAGCTAATTGGCTCCGAGGATTTACAACGCACAAAGGAAGCCCAACTCTATGGTCACATCTTGCACAGACCTATCTCGACATAAAAATTGTCAGTAGTCTTGCAGATCACAGTAATTTCCTTGCAAATTAAATCTTTTTGAGCAGCGCTTGTGTATGTGCATTTACAACCTCCGAAAATTTTTGAGCAAGTCAGACCGTTTCTCCAACCGCAACCATCAGAGCCAGCATGGAAAATTTATCTGATTGTCTATAGAAATCAAGGTAAAGCCCGTGAAACGAGTACTGCGCCGACTATATCTTGATGCATACTCTTTGAGTGAATGAAATTTGCTCATGGTTCCTCGTATTTCCACCATGCTATTCATATTCTAGCCACGCTATCTTAGATGGACCACAGTAAACAATTTTATCTGATGCCAAGCGTCTTAAATGTACTTAGCTAAATTTTGATTCAAAAATGTTGGATGTCAAAACAAAGGCGATTCGTCGAGGAGCATTTTTCATCTTCTAACCAGCACGGTGTTGCTGAAAATAGCAAAATAATCCGAGGCCCTTAAGATGCAGCAAATGTTGATTCTGACGCATACGTCTCGTATCCCCTTGTCCATACGAGACTTTATCATCGTAATATTGGAGCGATCATCATCTGGGCGACAGAACACCGCATTCACCACCTCATTTAGCGAAGATCTTAATCTACCATTTTGTGCGAGAGCTTTGGAGATGACGTCGCTGTTCTAAAGTATTCATGAGCTGTATAGATCACAATCCAATCATGTGTAGTTTAGGCTAGATATTAGCATAATTCGTTAAAGCCCCTGTTATCAGCTAAAAGCTTCTGTATGCCTCTTGAAGTTGGCGAGGATCAATACAGAAACGTCATCATGTCTGTTGGTATTTCGAAAAGATTGATGATCACCGAACATGTCAGATATAACTTGCACTGCAACAATGCAAGTAGTTAGACACGCCAAGCTATATATAATTCACTTTGGATTAGCGGCATTGTTCATGTTTATTTTTCAGGTAATGCAAACGTAAAGTCTTGCTGACACTAAATACATGTTCGTATATATAAGTGAGTGGCTCACTAAAGCTCATATAATCAAGAATTGCTCGCAATTGCTTTGGTGTATATTCACATCCGACCCCAGGGTCTTCACGAATATAAACAATAAACCATTATAATATATCCGTTTGTATATCCGATGCAGCCTGAAGAGATCTGGCACCATATTCGATAGCCCTTAATTGACAACAGTAGGGACCCACTCACTTTGCTAATCCAATAAGGGTACACTACTGTCTCTCATGAGTATCTGATAATAGCTATCGTCAAAGTAATAAGTGCAAAGCATACCAATGACCATGCTACTCTAATGCATCCATTTTACCATTTGAAGTTGGCTTCTCCACCCAAATGATAACAGTTTGGCTTATCAAAGCCATGGTTAACTGCCATTAGGCTTTATGACGCGGAAAGTCGGCGCCTTCTTGAATGATTGAAGTTATTCACGAAACGTTTTAATTTTTTTACATGAAAGAAGTTGTCTATTGAATCACATCGGTCCCTTGTAAGGCCTCATCTATGTGATGCAGTTTTTAGAATCTAGGATATTCTCTGATAAAATCCTCAATCAGCGAAAATACTCAAATAATTATTACCACATTATTGTTATACTCCCAGACGCGTGGTGGGTCTCTTGTCAACACGTCGGGATGTTAAAAAAGAAAGAAAGACACATAAATATTGCTTATAGCTGTTTCATTCTGCGCCATTAGTACTCTGCGTGAGTCCTCTATATCGTATTTGCCCATGACAAACGGCCCTGTTCAATTTCAGTGGCCTTATCGTCCTCCGAACGTCTTCATATAACCTCGAGGAAAATTTCTCCAACTGATTATATTTCTCTCGGCGTAAATAAAGCAAAACTCCTTCATAATATTGGACTCGCTTAATCGTCTCAAGTTGATCATCTATCTTGCCACGAATCTAAAGATCTTCCTTGCTTTGTACTGTGAGTGCGTCTCAAGGTGATAGTCGGTCAGTAGTATCAGTATATCGTGACAAGGATTAATCATTCTCATTAACTTACGAGTCTGACCCGTCTCTGCAGCTTATTGTGACTCACGGTCGCCCTTCAGCTCAGACAGCATTAGCATTGAACTCACAGCTGCGATTTACTATCCACCCCAGTTACAATTTGGAGACCAATACACGCCTTAAGTTGAAAACGTTTCTGCGGACCACGACATTTGGTCGCTTGTCGCTGTCTTATCCCGAAATCGTAGCTTGCTCTCGCTTATGGGTTCCGATTTCTACTTTCAGGTCCATAGCAACACATTTTCTATATGATCCAGACAATATCAGTAGTGCAACGAAGCTGGTAGCGCTTTTACTTTCTACCAGTAGTTCGCGGCTCGCCGATCGACACCAGGAGAGAAACTCGTGATGCCCAGCATTTTTATTTCCAGTCGATACATTGCTCATGCTGTTCAAGTCACGCCATTGCAAAGAAGAGATCATATTTCGACTCCGCATCCAAAACGAAACAGCGATAAACGCTGCTAAAATTATGGATATGCTCAACACAAGTTTAAACATTCACTAATGTCTCCATCGCTATACGTACATGACTATTGTTCGACAGTCGCTCGTCCTTTGTAATAACACGACGATCCTGGATATATTTAGCACCCCACGGCTGCATGAAGCCCGAGATGTTGGCAGTTATTGCTATCACTCCTTGGCTTCGAGCTCCACCTCATTCAAAGGGAGTGGACTTTCTTAAAGTTGATATCCAATAACCACGAATCTCATGAGGTACGATCGACCTTTGTTCTGTTTTTGCTAATACACCTGCGTCTGTTGAGACTCGACATTTTTCATCAAGAGTATGTCGGACGACCCTGCGTGGGAGCAAACAGAGTGCAGATCTTTAATACTGCAACAGATGTTTTGTCTGCGAGTGCCACAAAGCTCATTCGCATCAAAGAAACCACTTTTTTCATTCGACATAGCTGAGCTCCTTCGCTTCTGCTGCGCTCTTAAAAATGCCACTTCTGGTATCCTCACTAACCCTCGCTTTACGACAGCTGTACGCGGTATCCAATGCTACACCCACCGTCTTCTCAAATTATGTAGATGGACGCGAAAAAAGCACCTGTTCAGCGACCTTTTATGAGCATAGTAGGTCTTCCCGCCTTTGTAAGATAATCTACCGCCCTCGTGAAGGTGAACTATTTTCAGCTCTTGAACATGGTTCTCGCTTTTCCATCCCACCTGACAGATGGACATAAACTTGAAACGCACCTGACACGCCTAACTAGTACGCAAGACATATAAAATCATCATGATTTTTCTGTGCTTATAATGCAGGTACTGGACGTTAGTGCTCATGACTGCAAGCGATCTGGACATCGCATGTTTGACGCGCTGTTGCTCCCTCTGGGGTATGGTCAAATTTACGGCCTTCTCAACTTCTTTCATCCAA